AAATCAATAGGAAAGCTTGAGAACCAAGATTAGAAAGAGGGGGAAAAAAGCCAGGACAAGGGGGAAAGGGAGGCCACAGCAGCACACACACCGGGAACTGCAAGTGGCAGTCTAGTGTGAAAGCCACTGGGGGACACCGTGGCCTCTGGACGCCTCTGCTTCTCCGCACTCCTGTCCTTGCTCCTGCAGGCCGCCGCTGCTACCTCAAGGAATTCTAAGCTGTCCCCTCCTCTCTGCATCCCTCACTCAAGATTCAGAGTTCTAGGTGGGAACATACTACCTGCAAGAGCAGGACACGTGCCTGTGCCTGAACTGCTTGGGGCAGGAAGAGGGAGAATCTTGCTTATCGAGGCTTCCACTGGTGGGAACAGGGCTCTGCCTCCCACCACAGTTCATACAAACAGGAATCCCATAAAACAGGAAAGTTTAGAATGCTCAGCAATAAAAAAAAAAAAGAAGTCAAATGTCTACCCCATTACCACTGTTCAATTAACTGTATCCTAGAACACAGACTTCACTCCTAATCAAAACACCTCAACTGTCTTGTCTTTGTGAAATGAAAGTCTACTCCACAGCCACATATTTAAGAATCTCCATCAAATGTATCCATATGACGTGCTGACCTAAAACTTCCTCCGCAGCCAGGCCGGTCTCCTCCTCCTTCTCCCAGTGAAGCTGACATGCATCTCTGAGAGCCTTGGTCTTACCACTCTTGTCACCTGAAACATCTCCCTTCCCATCCCTTATTATTTGGATCCCACCCTATCCTCAGGACTCAGGTTGAAGTCCTCCCTCTCCCCTCCACGAGGTCTTAAAACACTCCAGTCTTCACCAAGAAGGTCAGACACAATCCTGCACTGGCCAGACAGACAACACAGTCATGGTACAGTCTGGTATCGTGTAGGGAAACAGTGGAAGTGTGGCAACCAGAATGAGCTTGCCCCATCGAAAGACTTTCAGGTTCGTAATTTTTTAAGACACTGCGTTAGAAATGAATAGCATTAGGTACCTCTGTAGAAGGGAACTGGGTGGCTGGAAAAAAGAGCTGGAAGGGAGACTTCTATTTTTCTTTTTTTATCCTCACCCAAGGACCTGGCTTTAGAGAGAGGGGAAGGGAAGGAGAGAGGGAGAGAAACCTCAATGCAAGAAACATCAATCAGATGCCTCTCAAACACGCGCCGACCAGGGACTGAACCAACAACCTAGGTGTGTGCTCTCACTAGGAATCAAACCCACCACTCTTCCGTTTACAGGATGACATTCCAACCAAATGAGCCACACAGGCCAGGTGAGACTTTGTATTGTAGATACTGTTTTGTACTTTGTAAATTGTGAACCACATGGAAAGTATTACCTTCACAAAATACATAAAATGAAAAATGAAAATCAGATAGACAAAATTTTAATGACCAAAACAGTATACAGGTAAAACAAAATAGCCAATTTATTGTTCGTTACAGGTTCGTGTGGGTTAACTAGTGAAATGCTGCCTTGGTCCTGCTACTTCTCTTTTTCACACATGTGTACTCTACCACAAGAGATTGTAAAGTTAAGGAGGAAAAGAAGCCTGTTACATTTCTTTTTTATCTTCTTCATTGCTTTGGACATGTGGTTATGTTCCTGATATATGGAACCATAAAAGTTTGGAATTTTAGAAAGTCTTTAAAAATCTAGTTCACTCTTCCCATTCTTTTATCTTTTTTTTTCAATCCTAACCTGAGGATATGTTTATTGATTTTACAGAGGGAGGAAGGGAGAAAAAACATCTATCGGTTGTCTCCCTATGCACTCCAACCAGGGATCAAACCTGCGACCTAGGTATGTACCATGACTGGAATCGAACCTGCAACCTTTTGGTATGTGGAACCTCGCTCCAACCAAATGAACCACCAGCCTGGGCAACCCCTGTCATTTTATAGATGAAAAAAGTGATGCCTCAGAAGGCTAAGGAACTTACCCATTATAGGCCAAGAACCTAAGACTTGAAATAAAAACAAAAGAAAAACAAAATCACAGGCACACATGCTCAGCTTGACTATTAAAACAAAGGATGTCCACTAGAGGGAACCAGCAGTACATCAACTTGAAGGTGAGGTTCCTAAAACAGTTCCCTTTGAAAGATCCACAGGGTAGTGATGAAGGACTTTCCACAGGCCACGGAAAATTACTAAAGGGCCACATATCTAAACCAATGTAAATTCAGATTTCTTTCACTAGAGGTACAAATAGAGACTTTCTAAATCTCCAACACTTAAAAAAATGTTATTAGCAGATAGTAAAACTGATTTTCTTTTCTTTTCTTTCTTTCTTTCTTTTCTTTCTTTCTTTCTTTCTCTCTCTCTCTCTTTCTTTCGGTGTATATTTTCTTTTGGTCTATATTTCTATCAATTTTTGCACACAAGTATAACCACCACAATCAGCAAGCAGTACAGTTCCCATATGCCCCAACAAAAACTCCCTCCTGCTCTGACTTTATCACACCCTCCCATTGCAATCTGCACCACCCCCCAACACACACTATGAAGCATTCCATTATATAGATATACGATGTTCACCCACCCACCCACTGAAGAACATTTGGGCTGTTTTTGGCTATTGGCAATTAGTAACACAGCTGCTATAAATATTAACATACAAGTGTTTATGTAAACATTAAGTTTTCATTTTCTTAGGGTAAATGCCCAGGAGCAAAAATGCTTACTCATAGCATACATGTACATTTAACTTTTAAAAAATCCTGCCAAACTGTTTTCAAAAGTAACTACCAATCTAGGCTTCCCATCAGCAATAAATTAGATTTCCAGCTGCTCTGCCTCCTCACCAGCTCTTAATATTGTCAGTGTTTTTATTTTAGCCATTCCAATAGATATGTAGTCGTATCTTGTCATGATTTTAATTTGCATTTCCCTAATGCTAACTATATGAAACATTTTCCCAACAGCTTATTTGCTATCTGGTTATCTTTGGTGAAGTGTCTGTACCAGTGTTCTGCTCAGTTTTTAATTAGGTTCTTTGTTTTCTTACTGTTAGGTTTTGAAAGTTCTTTATATATTCTTGATACCAGCCCACTGCCATTCCTGTGGTTTGCAGACCCCCGTCTGTGGCTTGCCCTCTCATCCCCACATTAGTCCACTCATCCGCTATCTTACAGAGGAAAAGTCTTTAATTTTGATAAAGTCCAGTTTATCATGTCTTTTTTTTTTTATAAATCACATTTTTGGTATCACGTTTAAGAACTCTTTACCTAACCCCAGGGCATAAAGATTCTTCTCCTTTTTAATTAAATTTTTGTAGTTTTACATTTAAATGTATGACTCACTTTGAATTTTTTGTGTCAAGTGTGAGATTTATAAAGGGAAAATACTGTTCCCTTTATGACTCACAAGTATTCTGTAAGAGAAACTGGGGGCTGGGGGGGGTCATTATTTCATGGAAAAATTGAATGTGTACACTCTGTTTTTTTAAAGGGGAAACATGAGGAAGTCTTTATATTGAAGTGAACATGTTCTCAGCCGGTGCTGGGCGGTTGGCTCCTAGAGCATGACCCTATTTTCCAGATCCGATGGCTCTTAAAGCTTCATGGGACTCAAAGACAGGTACCCAATTTGAAGTCACAATAAAACAGATTGAAGCTGCTCAACCAGAGAATCTTTCAGCAGTGTGCTGGCTAAATCTTGATGAGGTACAAGCAATTAGTGTTCGAAGAAATAATCACTGAAGAATCCCCAGTGAAGTATGGCATGTGGAGCCAGGGCTAGAGTTTCTGCTGCCTGATGCTAGTAAGCACTATGGTCTCTGCATAGACTAAAATCACACATGATCCTAATTAAAAGTTGGATCAGCAAGCCAGAAATAACTGCCAAATGGACAAAAACTAATTGATATCTAGAAGCTGAAGATTGCTGATGAAACTCTATGAAGAAATTAGATTCTTAAACACGCAGCAATGTCTGATTTGGGCTTGGCACTCTCTCCTTCTCTGCAACCTTTCTCAGCAGCTAGTCTCAAAGAAGCCAAAGAAATGGTTCAGGTGGGAAAGAGTTAGGTTTTCTCTACTCAAACCCAGGTGTCTCAGTCCCTCCCAAACTGCCCTCATTAAATTACAAGGAAAGAGGCAGTCCACATGTTGTGGTAGCTAGAGGCATCTAGCTGTGTCATAGCTAGAGGCAGACTAGATTTGAATATAGATGAAGAGTCAATTCCTTATTTTTCTGGAGTAAAAGAAAGCAAATACTGAGTCCATATTTTTAAAAATATGGACTCCATTAAAAAAAAAAATCCCTCTCAGTTTCTTAGCACCTTAGCAGGCCTCTCTGTAGATAACACAACAAATCCTCTTTTCTGGACTCACGAGACTTCATTTCTCTTTAGTCCTCTCCCACTCCCTGAATCTTAGGCAGGTCCCTTCCACCTCCAGCAATACCAGCCCAGAAAGCAGTGGGCATGGAAGTACAAGCAGAGAGACATCCATTTCCGCCCAATTATCTGGTGGTGTCCAAACATTAAAAAAGCACTGAAATATGAGCAACAATATTGGAGGAAAAGCATGCATGCATTGCCAGAGTTAATCTGAGACATCAGGGAATTCTAGTACAATTCTTCACACGAGCCCTGAGTTCTGCCTAAAGACCAGACCCCCTCTGCCACTAGTGCCCTTGAACACACACCCTCTCATTGCTCTCAAAGACCAACCCAGACCTATTGTTTAACCCTTTCCAGATTCCCTAGACCAAGTACTAGGCTATGTAGCCATCCTCTCAGGCGTGCAAAAGGCATGAAAAGATTTCCTTACTGAAAAGTGCAACAAGACTGCTATGGGGTGCTCTATGGAGTCGAGAAATATTGCAATTGGTTTCATTATAACAACAGATTCACAGGAGAAGCAACCCTCCAAAGGGCAAGGTAAACTTTTTTTCACATAAGAAGTTTCAACAGACGCAGACCAGATGCACCCTGCCTCTCCATACTCCTCCCCTTCGGAGTTTACAAGTTGGCCTTACCTGTACAGGTGACCATTGTCTTCAAAGTTTTCCTGACCCCATTTTCCCTTGACGTCTTCAATAACATGGTTCTTCAGGAATTTTTTTAGCAGCTGCACCGTTTGTTTACGGGTCACTTCAGGGCCGAAGTTTTGATTGCACCTCAGCAGCTCATGCAGCGAATCCACCGCTTCGGCCGCTGTGAAGCAGTGTTCGTAACTCTTGAACCGACAGCGGTGTTTCCGTAAGGGCATCCTAGCGCGGAAAAGCTCAACTGTCTCATTCCACTGGAAGGAAAAAGAGAAAGGCATTTAGTAATCAACTGATTTTTTTAAAGGTTAGTGAATCCAAAATATTTAAAATAACAAATACAATTTTTCCATTTAGAGGACTGCCTTAGTAACAGAGCTTTGAAAACTATGTACTTACAAGCTTCACACTCTAAAAAAAAAAGTAATTTTTAAAAATGAATTTATTCCTTCAGTAAAAATTTACTGGAGATAATGCCACCAAGTTGTCCTATTATGTGAACTTAATGAATTTTTACACTGAGAAACATGTGATCAAAAATAATAGCAAACTGAGCCCAATATGCTTAATTCACTTCTTGGAGCCCTATGTTTAATATGACTTGGCCTTGCTTGGCAATTATTTACTGTTTATCCCATGAAATGCATTATATGGGGAGAGGAAAAGAGAGATATAATGCCTGATGTCAAAATATGTTTTAAAATTCTGCAGAATATGTTCCTGTTTAAAAAGAAATCTACAAGATGGCAGCGTAGGTAAACAAGCTCCACCTTCTCAGGCAACCACACAAAGAATTACTACGGGACCACAAAATAAAAAACAGCAAAAATCAAGCTGTATGGAGATCCCACAACCAAGGATTTAGAGAAGCCACATTCATCCAGATGTGCAGGACAGGCAGAGACACAAAGATGGGAGGAGAGACCCAGAAGCCACAATGTGATGCAGAAAGGCGCGGTCCCACATTCACTTGTAGTGGATAAAAATCAGCAGGGACACCTTGGGAGTGAGCCATCCTAGTCCCAGGACAGACAACACAGCTCAGGGTCCCAGTGGCAGGAGGAGAAATCCCTGTAACTTCTGGCTGTAAAAACCAGTGGGGGTTGGGGCAGTGAAAGAAACTGTCAGATTTTGGGGATACTCTGCTTAAAGGGCCCACATGGACTTGGAATGGACACAGACCCCTCTGGGATTCAGCACCAGGGCAACAGCTAGAAGGGCACCAGTTGCTACCAGTAAGTGAAGTGACTGGAAAGAGGGCAAGTGCCAGGCACCCTTCAGAAGCCAGGCAGCAGCATTGTTTCCTCTCCCAGCCTTCACCCCACATAGAAACACAAAGCAGTGAAGCGGATTGCCCCACCCTGGCAATTATCTGAGGCTCTGCCCCACACAATTTATAGGTGCCTTTTCTACAACAGGCCATGCTACTAAGATAGGGAGTCAAAGCATCTCTACCTAATACACAGAAACAAACACAGGGAAGTGGCCAAAACAAAGAGACAAAGAAGTATGGCCCAAATGAAAGAACAAAACTCCAGAAAAAGAACTAAATGAAACAGAAATAACCATCCTATCAGATCCAGAGTTCAAAACACCGGTGATCAGGATGTTGAAAGGACTCATTGAGTGTGGCAGCAGCATAAAAAAGACCCAAAGGAAGATCTGAAGTTCACATGAAATAACTTAAAGAAAAATCTACAAGGAGCAAACAGTGGAGGGGTGGAAGCTGGGATTCAAATCAATGATTTGGAACATAAGGAAAACAAAGCATTCAACTAGGACAGCAAGAAGAAAACGCAAATCAAAAAAAATGAGGATAGTATAAGGAGACTCTGGGACATCTCCAAATGTACATTCAAATCATAGGGATGCCAAAAGCAGAAGAGGAAGAGCAAGAAATTGAAAACTTATTTGAAAAAAATAATGAAATAAAACCTCCCCAGTTTGGTGAAGGAAATAGACATTCAAGTCCAGGAAGCACAGAATCCCAAATAAGTTGGACACAAAGAGGACCACATCAAGACATATTGTAATTAAAGTGCCAAAGGTTAAAGATTAGGAGAGAATCTTAAAAGCAGCAAAAGAAAAGCAGAGAATTACCTACAAAGGAGTTCCCATAAGATTGTTAGCTGATTTTTTTCAACAGAAACTTTTTAGTCATGAAGGGACTGGCAGAAAGTATTCAAAGTGATGAAAAGAAAGGTCCTACAACCTAGATCCAGCAAAGCTATCATTTACAATGGAAGGACAGATAAAGTGCTTCTCAGATAAAGTAAAGCTAAAGGAGTTCACCATCACCAAGCCAGTATTACATGACATGTTAAAGGGACTTATTTAAGAAAAAGATCAAAACAATTAACATTAAAAAGGCAACAACAACAAATTCACAACTATCAACAACTGAATCTAAAAAACAAACTAAGCAAGCAACCAGAACAGGAACAGAATCATGGAAATGGAGATCACATGGAGGGTTATCAGCAGGGAGGGGGAAAGGAGAAAGGGAGAAAAAGGTACAGGGAATAAGAAGCATAAATTGGTAGGTACAAAATAGACAGGGGGAGGTTAAAAATAGTATAGGAAATGTGAAGCCAAAGAACTTATATGCAGAACCCATGGGCATGAACTAAGTGAGGGGATTGCTGGAGGGAATGGGGGTACTAGGTGGGACAGGGGGACAAAAGGGGAAAATTGGGACAACTGTAATAGCATAGTCAATAAAATATATTTTTAAAAGATATAGAAAACTAAATAAACAAACAAATAAATCTAGGCATCCATGCCTTCATCAGCCATCCCTACAATAAATGAAATGTTTGCATACGGTGTTCTTCCTACACAGTCACTCCAACATCGTTTAGGTTCCTGGGTTTCCCTTCCACCCTCCTAAAAGTCCTGGAAACTCAGTCTTACTCTCATAGGCATTCCTGCTCCTTGCACTTTTCTCTTTCTAGTACAACACTTCACAAACTGTGAATTTTATGATCTCCCTTCCTACTGAAATCAGATTTTATGATTTTGCTCTTTTCTTTCCACTATAGTTTTGACCTTAGCACATTTTTATTTCTGTATATTCTTTTTATTTTGCTCAACAATGGTTCCTTGTTTTTCCCTTCTGATCAGGCCTTTTCTTCCAGGTTTCTCTTCATACACTCACTCTCTGCTGCCCAGTCACCTCTGCAACTATTGTCCCATTTCTCTTCTATCTTTGATGGCTTTCTAAGCCATGGTACTAATTCTTGAGTAGACACCAGGTGCTTACAGGGCTGAAGTGGGCAGGGTTTGTGCAAACACACTGGGGAAGGTCATCAAGAAGACGTGACCACTACTTGGACCCATGAGCTGGACCTGAGCTATTGGAGACTCCCCCACCTGCCCATGAGCATGGAATGTATGTTCCCACTTGTCATCCCTGCTCCTGGAAGCTGCTCCGAAGACACAGCCTTGAGATAGAAATGTGGTAAAGAGACTACACAGACTGTGTACATGACTAAACCCAGTTAGGGCCTCGATAAATCTTTTATGATTTGGTAGGTGGGTGCAGAAAACTATTTATCTTGCAGCCACCCAAGACAATCCTCATATGTAAGTTTCCTTGCTTATTTAACCTGCCACTGACAAATCTTGAGTGGTCCGCCTTTTTCTTTGGACTCTCCCTGCCCTCCATGTATGGAGGCCAGTTTCAGATCACACCTGGGAGGCTCCCAAAGAAGTGGCAGCTCAACAGCATGCACCCTGGACACACAGCACGGTGCACGACACCCACGAGGTACACAATAAAGCAAATGCATAATTGATCACTGACTTCTTGCTTTTTTAAAAACCACCTTCCAACTTCATGCCATTTAATTCCACTCTGACTCCCAATCATGTCTTCTTCCTGGCAAAATGCATACTCCTTTTGCCCTTATGCATATTAATCTTTTTACTTCATTTGGCATTGTTATAAGCAGTGCTCTAAATTATACTGGTCCAGATTTAAGTTTTTTTTCAATGTCTTAAAAACGCATACAGAAACAAGGCAAGCCATAGAGTAGGATAACATATAACCAGAGTTTCTAAAACAAAACAAAAAAATTCAAATCAAGAAAGAAAAGACAGAAACTCCACCAGAGAAATGGAAAAAGACTTAAACAAGCACTTCACATAAAAGGATCTCCAAATTTACCACAGAATTTACCACAGAATATGCAATGCTGTTCAATCCCATTGATTATCCATGAAATGCAAAAGAAATCCACCATGCAATACCACTACAAACCTACAGAATGGCTAAAATGAAAAAAGCAATACTAAGTGCAGGTAAGAATATGGAGTAACTGGAAATCTCATACATTGCTGGAGGAAACATAAATCGGTACAATCATTTTGGAAAACAGGCTGACAGTATCTATAAAAGTTAAATATATGCACACCTTACGACACAGCAATTGCATTGCTAAGTAGATATGCATTAGAAATGCATATATGGCATAGGCAAAACTAAGTTTATAGTTGTGAGTACACAAGACGTAGGGTTTATTCTTGTATTATTATTGTTTATTAGTTATTGTATTATTTTCCATACAAACAACTGTAAACCTACTTTTGCCCACTACTGAATATAGTCACCAAAAAACACACTGTTCATAGTAGCAATACACTTAACAGGCAAAAACAATGTAAGTGTCCATCAACAAAAGAATAGCTAAATAAACTGTGATTTATTCATGAAATAGAATGCTATACAGCAAAGCAAATGAATAAACTATTGCTACATGCAATAACATAGATGAATAACACAGATAAAATGTAATACTGATATAAGAACAGACATAAAAAGTAAATACTAATGATTCCATTTACATAAAGTTAAAAAGCAGGCAAAATTAATCTATGGTATTAGAAATAATAATAGTGGTTAACTCGTTATGAAGATGGAGAATGGGAAGGAGCAGAGGGACCGACTTCTGGAGTACAATAATGCTGTATTTCTGGGTCTGGGTGTTGGTGCTCACTTTGTGAAAATTCATTAAGTTGTACACTTATGTTTTATGCACTTTTCTGTACATATTATGCTTGATAAAAAGCTAAAACAAAACACACACACACATATGTGCATACAAATACTCATTAAAACCCTCTTTATGAGCAATTCAGAGGGTGGAAATGGGAGGGAGTTGGGGAGGGATGGGTGGGTGAGCTGGGATGGGAGTAAAGGACAGAAAACTGTACTCAAACAACAATTAAAATAAAATTTAAAAAAGAAAAAAAAAGA